AGTGAGGCTGCACACCTGGCCCAACGTTAACCCCTCAGACCTGGCCCAGTTTCCCTCCCAGCCCCTGACCGTGCCCACCACCACTGGCCCTCCGGGCAACCCCCTCCTCCCTCACCCTGCTCTTCGGCACCTCTGAGACTATCCCCGATCCTCCCTGAGACAAAGCCTGACCCCAGGAAAAGAGCGCACACACTGGAGTCTCAGTCGTGCCCCTGTGCCACTTGAGCAAGTGCTGGAATTCTCTGTGCCTCGGTTTCCCCGTTTTCCAGTTGTGCAAATAACCCCCTCCCCTGGCGGCCAGCGGGAGGATTCAGGAAGACAATGACAAAGCCCAGCACTCTGCACACACCGCGTCTCCTGCACCCTCCACCTGTGGGTAAACAGGGCTCCTCGGCCCCAGCCAGGTCGGCCCCAGCCAGGTCGGTGCTCAGACGGCTTCCTCCAGCCACGCCTGCCTCCTTCCTGGGGATATTAGCTCCAGCCCTTGGCTGCTGCTCTCTCCTGCCAGGTGTGTGGGCACTTCCACTGCCCTTCCCTCTGCCCATGTATCCCTTACAGCTTAACTGGGGTATTACCTCCTCTGGTGCCCTCAGTGAGCCCTCCCCGCTCCTGAGAGCCTGGTGGGGTCTCTGTGCAAGGACAGCGCCCAGGACTTCCTGCCTGTCCTTGGAGCTCACTGTCCAGGGGAGCAGCAGAGGGGAACAAAACAAAAAAACATGAAGGGGGAGTCGGAGAGCTATCTCCCTCCTTGAGGAAGGCACCGGCCGGTGCACAGCAGATTCCCTGACCTCAGGGGCGTGGGAGGGTGCTCAGTCCAGCTTTCTGACCCATCCACCTGAGGTGTGATCTCATTTACCTGTTCGGCAAGCCTCCCAGGTGCTGACAGGGCAGAGCCTTAGTAACCTAACAGCTGATGCCTGCTTTAATCGGCCCATTTTACAGGTAGGGAAACAGAGGCTCAGAAAAGGTCAGCCACGGCCAGGGCAGAGCAGGAAGGCTCGCCACTGGGTTTCAGGGTCCATGTCACTGAGACCACCACCCCAGACCACACCACTCTCAGTGGCCTGCCACGGCCTGTCCCCCACACACCTGGCAGGAGAGAGTGCGGGCTCAAGTCCGTGCCCTGGCACCTGCGGGGCCTCTATAGGATTGAAAGGAATGGGAGAAAGGGAGTGGCCACCCCAGCTGGCGGAACTCAGGGCCTAAGCTGGTCTCTGGCATTCAAGGCCTCCAGGTCAGGCATCCCGGTTCGCCCAACGCCCGCAGGAAGTGGCTGCAGAGCCCAGGAAGGAGTCCCCGAGGGCAGAGTGCCCCTGGGTCACGCACAGAGCGGCAGGGAGGGCTTGGCTGCAGACGCCCCGAGTCGCTCATCTTCCTCCAGCTTTCTCCACACTCCATGGCGAAACCTTGAGAGGTAAATGTATAGACTAAGGTGAGACACCAGCTTTCTGCTTCATTTGAACATTCCTTTTACACTGTGAATTTATTTCTCAGATGCGTGCTAACTGTACCATATCCATTTATCTATAATATGCATGGACGGTCCTTATTA